TATATATATTTATTTATTTATTTATTTATTTCATTTAAATTTTAAAAGTGTAGTTCATCCACAAAGAATAATCCTTTTTTGCTCTTTTGACATTGATATTCAGTCGGGGTTTATTGAGAAAAATAAAGTCCTAAACATCATAGTGAATTCTTTGATATACATCAAAACATCATAGTGAATTTTTTGATATACATCGAAATATCATAGTGAATTCTTTAATATACATTGCATTTCGAAAATATGAAATCTTGAGAAAAAAAAAAGTTTAAATTGCAAACATTACATAATTCGCGAACGAATTGTAGTACTCATTGCACACTGGACGCTATGAACAATAAGCGACGAACAATACTTACCTAATGAGAATTCTGCTATTCATCGTGTAAAAAGACGGAGTTTTCAAAGGATATAGCTCGTCGCTTATCACATCCAGTATGTAGAAGGCATAACATGCAATAAACATTAATTTAAAATAACATAATATCAATAAAATGATTATAATTTTATAATTTCACAATTAACAATGTTACTAAAAGCACCGCATGAGCGGGAAGACATGCAAAATGAAAATCCAATGCTTCTAGAAATCGAAGATCTTGCGTCTCTCGATCACATGTATGATTTAGATCATTCCATACTGGCACTTCGCGGAATTGCTAGATTTCATGTTGCCTCCGTAGCTTTTTGTGAGAAGGTAAATCATCACGTATGACTTACAGTCAGTCGTAACAATTATTCTCATCACAATTATTAAGAATTCGGATGGCATGAACCATTCAAATTTTTGTGTTGATATTAAAAATATAAAGACTCTTAATATTAAATATAAGAATTTTATGTGGAATCAACGGAACATCATTTGGTTGCATTGCGAAAAATTTGTAGAGTTATACAATCACGTGCATCACATTTTATATAATTCTATAGAGAAGTAATTTATAATTGTAATATTAATAAACACAAGAGTCTCATTTTTAATACTATATTAAACTTAAAATGCGCTTTTTATATTTCGTATTTCAGCTTGAGTAATCAAAATAAACAGACAGTGATAACATATGAGATATTTGAAAATAGAATGTATAAATGTACCTAATCAGTTTAATTGCATATGCAGGTATGTTCATTTGTCGATGTCATCTATGTAACTATTAACTTTGTCATCATGACTTCCTGAACATCATGTTTCACTTTTTTCCTGATGCGGAAGTTGTAACTGATCTCCTACTTGCGGCCACCCTGCGCACATCGATACATTAATATTTTAAGTTTTAACATTTATAATTTTTTTTTATTGTTCATTACTGTGATGTAATAATTTACTATATACCATAGTTATTTGACTATGTTTCATATATATATATGTATTATCTATATATTAATATTGTTATATATTATACATTATATATTAACTCTTATTTGTTATACATTATTATGTATATCGATTATATTCCAGTTTCATTTTAATATTGTAATTTAATAAGTACAAAAATAAATATATTTTATTACTGTCCGAAATTTTCATTATTTGTGTTTTTTGTGCAAATATATGAAATAAATATTTTAACAATATACATATCTTTTTCTCTTACGTACTTTTTTACTGGTAAACTCTATATTCTCAAAAATATCACGTAGGAGCATATTCAGATTTCCACCCGGATGTTATATCATCATTGTTGTTTATCGAAAATTAATAAGATTTAATTAAATTAGTTAAATAAGAATGACATGATATTCGCGGAGCATCGAGATAGAAATCAGAACACGTCTTAGAATGTATATTCTACGTAAATTAAAAGACAAGCTTTTAGTAAATATTTAATTGTATAATGAATAAAAAATTGAATGCGTGTAAAAATTATCTTTTAACATGTCAATTATTTCAGCGTATATTTAATTAGAATCTTATATGATTTTGTGTTACAATGTCGATCATCGTAACTGCGTGCCTGAAAAACTTCGTTCGTTGTATATCGGATTATGAAATTATTAAAATATTTACATCTCAAATTGAATTTGTTTAATTTTTTACAAATATCATTTAGAATTGTATTTAATTTTTTTTTATAAAATATCGTTTAGAAATTTTATTCTGACAAAACTATTACATTAAAACGAATTATCATACCATAATTGCAAAATTTTTCGTCAGTTCACGCTGCTATTATAATAAAATTTTTTCACAATTTCTTTATCGATAAAGACTAAAGAGGTAATGATATGATTTGCATGAATGTTGTAAACGTTTATTGTACGATTTTTTTATGACGTTAATTATTTTTCGAACAGAAAAATATCGCACAGGGTGCTTGTCTTATCATAATTTTTTCATTTCCGTTAGCGTTTATTATCTGATCGAAGGATAAATCTGTATATGTATAATATTTACCAAGCTTCTACAGTTATCTAAGACTCTGATGTAGGTACAAAGCCTATGATGAATGAATAAATGAATGTACCGATGTAGATATAAAGCTTGTCACTTCTGTTCTGTACGTATCATTTTGTGGCTGGCTTTACGAAACAGCACAGTGAAATATAGTAAGCATTTTTAAAAAAAATAGGACTGAATTCAAAGACGAATAACTTCAGGTTAGTCACTTTAGCGTATTGTTTATTATCAATACTTTATATGTCTGCTTTTTATTTCTTCATTAGATCTAGACTGTAGAACTTTTTTTCGAATTTTCATGAAATACCAAATATATATCTATTTCACTTTAAATTCTAGTAAAAGTATAGTTCAGCTGCAGAAAGATCATTTTTCTTTTAATATTGATATTTAGTCGGAGTTTATTAAGGAATATTTTAAGTAAAGACTCAAACATCCTCCCAAACATCATATCGAATTGTTTGATATACAGGTTTTACAACTATCGTACAATAAGTAAGTGTATTCTAAAGATAAAGTAAAAAATCTTAATACGAAAATGTCGAAGCTACAATAGTTTTTGAATTCGATAATTGATCAAAGATAGTTTGTAATTCAAAAACTATTATAGCCTTGACATTTTCGTATTAGGATTTTTGTCTTAGGATGTTACAAAGAATTCAAAAATAATGACAGAGACAATAAAAGTAAAATAGTTTTTGACATATAATTATTTAAAGTTAGCTTGTAATTCAAAAAATTATTGTAACGTCGATATTTTTGTATTAGGATTTTTACTTTTTAGAGTACCGTAAAAGTATTGTACGATGATTGTGACTCTGTGTATATTGCATCAAAAAATATGAGATAAATAATGCATAATGATATGTGTGAGAAAAATATATGAATACAAAGTTTTAATGAATTCTATGACACATAATACTCAATGTGACAACTAAATTTACAGATGGAAACCATAAAGAAATATATAAAGAATTGAGAATTATTAATATCTATCATCTGATATAGTCTTCTTCCGATCAATTTTTATCATTTAAATGTATAACGAATCGAATATCCGAAACTCTTCTCCTGAATCGCTTAATTCTCTCATCTATACATTGAATCAATAACACGTTTTTAAATCCCTTTTTATTATAAATTTCAATTTAAGAAATACTAAATGACAATATGCACGTCTAAAAGACATGCATGAAGATATTAAAGATGTCTTCTGACATATACGTGTATATCTAAAAAATATCTCGAAAGCATCATAAAGACATTTTTTAGACATTATTCGTTGTCTAGTGATTTACCGCCAGCATTCTTAAGCATATTCTTAAAAAAAAAGGAGTTTAAATTGCAAACATTATGTAACTCATAAACATTACGAATAAATGTAAAACAGCAAATATTAATTAAAAATAATATAACCTCAACAATAGTTATAATTTTACATTATGTGTGATATGTAATATATGTTTTATATTATATTTAATTGTATATTAAACTGTAAAATGGAAAATTATAACATCGAAGTTATGTTATACATATATTTTTTTAAATTAATAGTAGTGAGAAGTTTTTAAACAATTCTATTTAGAATAATTTTACTTAGAATAGTATTTTTAGAAATAATTTTAGAGTCATATAAATAATTTTCTATAAATAATTTTTTCTTTAAATGATTCTATATTCTGATATAAAATATTGCAAAAATCGAATATCTAATACAAAATTCTGCAAATGACAAATATTATACATATATCTAATAAAAAATGCAAATGACAACTATTCCTATATATGTCATAAATTAAAGATTATAGGCCCTTTAATAAATATTAGGTCGGGGAAAAAGTTTCTTCATATTGTATTTAAAAAAAATTTTTTGCAAAAGTTTTTTATTTGTTGCAAAATTTACGTTACAATTATATTATTCGTTAGAAAAAAGTTTAAGCTTTAAAAATCTGTTTTTTTTTTAAATTGCGATATGATGATTTTTATCCGAGTTATGAGCAATCAAAGTTAGAATACTCCTTTACTAATTCGCGAAGAATTCAGATACAAAAATCATAGGAACATTTTTAAATAATAATTTTGTAACGAAAGCTTCAAGTTTTCACGATAGCTAATCGAAAATTTTCGTAAATTTTTTTTGGACATGTGAGAAATCCCCAAAGTTATAATAAAAGAAAATTTTTCATCTTTTTCAGCTCGTAGTTTTAAATGTAAAAATTATCAAATTCACAGAAACTAAAAAAAAATATAGTGTAACCTTTCGAAAGTAGAGATTTCAAGCTTTAAAATACTTTTTTTAAATTTTGTTCATTTTTGACAAAGATATTGTATATACAATTTTTAAAAATACGATAAATTTTTTCCCCAACCGAATATATTGTTTCAACTTGTCAATGCAGTAAAAAGTGTTGTGTTATTTTAAACTTAAAAAAAAGTACAATACTATATATCTTATATAAAAGAAATCCAAAAATTTAAACATTCAAATTATTTATACTTTGAGAAAAAAGTTGTTAACTTATGAATATGGAAGCCAGTTGGAAGAAAAAAAAACGTGATAAATGTCGTCGCGAATGAAATGGTAAAAATTGTATTTGCATTTTGTAACACAACAAGGAAGAACAATAATTTGTCGAGAAAATTCTTCAATTCCAATTCCACTTTTAGAAATGGCTCTAGAAACATCGACATGGTTAAACAAATGCTTCATAGAGAAGATTCTGCAAAAGTGGGAAAACGACAATTCGATTCAAGTGATCGACATATTTTCAAAACCGGCCACAATGAAGGGCGACAACTATCTCAGCGATATGATTAGGATTACTGTCGATTTTTCACGCAGCTCTATGATCAAAGAGAAAAAATCAATTATTATCAAAATTTCGCCTGTACTTGAAAGTATTCGACAAAAACTGGTAATTAATTTAATGTGTATAATATTTCTAATATAGAGAGGAAAAGAAGTTAATATAACATGTACAATGTTTTTAATATAAAAAGAGGATAGAGAAAGAGAGAGAGAGAGAGAGAGTTATAATTGTGGCAAATTTTATTATTTTGGAATACATTTTTGTTTAACAGAAAGGTTAGAATATTTTTGTGTAATGAGTAATTAAAGTAGGGATTCTTATTTCTTAAGTAAAAAAGTCGATTTTCTTGAGAATTTCTTTTTAATGAAAGTATATACGAGACTAAATATTTAAATTCTAAAATGTTATACTTAAATGTAAGTTAAAATAACAATTTTTTTTATTAATTTCGATCGAAATTACGTCTGCTGTCTTTCCTCAAACATATAGTGTTTTGTTACTGATTCGCAAGATATCTTTCATTCAGATAATTTAAAATGTAAAAATATGATAGTAATTGATTTTATATACATATAATTATCGTTTGATATAACTATTTGTTATATACATATTTATATTTTTATTGTAAAATAAATGAGCCAATTTTTAGAGCGAAATTGATGATTTACATTTGACAAGTTGCATTTTCTTAACTATCAATTCTTTTTTGCCTGTTCACCAAACGATAAATATATGTATATATAAAAAATCAAACAGTATACAAACTTTTATATTTCAGATAATCTGAAGCAAAGATAACTTGTTAATTAGTGACGGAGGACCAAGTTTGAGGAGAAATAGCAGGCGTAATTTTTGATAAAATTTAATAAAGAAATAACATTTAAATATATTAAAACAATATTCCAGAATTTAAATATAATGACTTTATACTTTTTGTTAAAAACATTTCCAATAGAATCAACTTTTTCCACCCAAGAAATAGAAACCTCCTAAAATAAAATTATTTTTATGAGTCAAGTTTAAAAAAAAACATATATATATACACATATATTTAAACAAAAGTTTCAAAACAAACCTTAAAACTTTCCACTATCACAAAAATTTTATATGAGTCTTTATATAAGTTTTTATATCACAAATAATTTCATGTGCTTGTTAGATTGAAGAATTTCACTTATATTAAATAAACTTATCATATATAGATCATAGAAATGGATGTCTTTCATATCGAGATGTTGATGATGTCAGATACTCTGGATAAAATGAATAAGTTGTTAGGACCAAAGCACCGCTTGAGCGCGAAGATTCTCTACATGCAAAATGAAAATCCAACGTTTCTGGTGATGGAAGATCTCGCATCTCTCGATTTTCGAATGGCTGATCGCTTGTCTGGTCTTGACTTAGATCATTCCATATTGGTCCTTCACGGTCTTGCCAGATTTCACGCAGCTTCCGTAGCCCTATGCGAGAAGGTAAATCGCACGCGCAATTCATAATCAATCGCAACATCTCGTTGCATTATTAAGAATTTAGATCAATGAATACATTATTTTCCTTTAGAAAACGTCTTTTCAACATTTGTATTATCTGAACTATATCATAACTTTCTCTAAAAAACGATCAGTTCTAAATTTGTCAGAAAATTTTATGATACAATTATTGTCTAAATTTTTTGTTTATCTAGATCTACATACATGGCAGTGAAAATGTTTTAGTCCGCACTTCAAACATAATTATTTTTCTTCTTTAATATAAATATTTTAATATTTAGGAACCAAAGCAGAAAGAGATGTATTTGAAAGGAATAATTAATAGCCAGCATCCGGCAGAAATGAAAGATATTTTCATTAAGAGTACTAAAGCTTTAGCAGACGAGATTATGAATTGGCCGGAAGTGAAAAAGTAAGATTTGCATTTAATTAAGACAATATTTATTGCTCTACTTTTTAATGTTCAAGATATTTTATGATACGTGACACAAGGAAACTAATATAAAAAGGGAAAATACATTAAAAAGAAAATTGCAAGTATAAGTACAAGTTGTGCATTGTTTAAAGAAAATATTCATATTATTTTTGCTTTCATATTTACATGATTTCAAATTTATTTGATTTTTATTAACAGATATTCGAAAAAAATTGCTAAACTCTCCGATCACATCTATCAAATAGGAGTGACTGCATTCAAGATGTGTGAAGACGAATTTAATGTTATTAATCATGGTGATTGTAATGTGAATAATATGTTGTTCAAATATGACAATAATGGCAAGCCTATTGATCAGATTTTTGTAAGTATCATCAAGTTATAAAAATATATCGTCTAAACATCCCCATTGATTTATTATATTCACTTTATCTTGCAACTAAGAACTAAAATCAAATAAAACAATTCATGAAATTTTTAATTTATACTTTCATATGATATGACTATATTGTTAAAAGATTAAATTTAGTTTAAAAATTTATTATACTTACAAGTATCTTTTATATTTATAATTAGACAATATATGTGAATTTTATTACAAACAAAGTTTATTACAAACATAGCTCAATTACTACATGCTAATTATCTATATTTTTGAATGTTTATTATAATTTTCATAATTAAGTATAAATAATATTTCATAATAAAAAGAGAGATATAAATTTGTACAACGATATTACATATTAAATAAATAAATAATATTTCGAGAAATTCTATTACAGTAAGTAGCGCAATTTAAGCATCCGCAATTTCAGCTTAAACAATCAAAATAAACAGTAATAATATATGAGATACTTGAATATGGAATGTATTTTGAATAAATGCAATGTACTTATTTAGTTTAATTGCGCATGCAAACTTATTTGTTTGCCCATCTATGTTTGTCATCTATGTAAATTATCATCTTTGTCTTCGCGACTTCCTAAATGTGATGTCTCACTTCTTTCCTGATGCACAGGTTTTATCTCCAAACAATTGCAGTAGACATAAAAAATTGACAATCAAAAAAATTTATTTTATTGTAGGTAGACTTTCAATTATGCGTCTACGCATCGCCGGCACTCGATCTTCTCTATTTTCTCAATTCAAGTGTTTCCTTCGATGTCATTGAAAACAAGAGAGATATTCTATTAAATGAATATCTTGGCATCTTGTCAACGACTATGAAGCAGTTGAACTGCAAGACGCAACCGCTCACCATGAAGGAACTAAAGACTGCTTTAAAACGAAAAGCTGGCTATGGTATGATGACATCTTTTACCGCTTTACAGTTTATGCTATGCCATAAAACTGAGGCGAAAGATTTGGATGAAATGTTGGGCACTGGTACTTATATAAATCCAGGTTTAAAGAATGAGAGTTATAAAAAAATATTAATAAGAAGATTGCCACTGTATGACGAGTGGGGTTTACTGGATCTTTAATGTATACAGTTCTATTTATGATAAAAAATTAAATAGAGAAAATAAAATAGAAAAGAAATAGAAATCTAGGAAATATTAGATGCAAATAATTATAACAAGTATATTAAAATTAATAGAAGCAGAATTATGTTAATGTACTTTTTAAAAAAAGTTTTTTTAAAATATACAGACGAAGAATAGTTATTATGATCGACTTATCTTTTGGTTTAAAAAAATTGGAATTATTTGTTTGATAATAGACTTTCATTTTTTATTCTTAAGATTTTAAAATTATAATACATCAGTGTTAACAGTATGTATACACATACATACATACATTTTATTTTTTTATGTAGATACTGTCTAATTCAACATGAACAACAAAAAAGTTAACAAAAAAATACTATTGAAAGAGATGTATATAATATTATTCTATTATATCAATGTAAAAATAATGTACAAATTAATTAAGATATCAAATAAAATATTTTAGTTTATATTAACATAAAGTGTGCGTAAGAAAAATTGAAAAAATATTACAAAGTAATAATTAAGTAATAAAATAACCAGATCCTATGATATACCCAAATTTTGTGATTTTTTTACCGAATCTAAAATTACAAATTGGTGGTCAATTTAAAAAAAAAACATCTTATTCTGCTGACCATAATTCATATTCTGATTCATATTTTTTTATGTGCTAGCACTAACGTACAATTACTAATTGATTGTAATTGATTATGTTGATTATTAATAGTAAATTTTTAATATTAATCGCAAATGCTTGCCGCACGAATACATTATTAACTTAATGTAAAGTATAATGGAGATATCATTTGTCAAACGGTGATTGGACATTATTAATGTAATTGAATTTTACTTTTAATAAAAGTATCACCTCAAATAAAAAGTATCTCTGTGTTTTGTTAGTTAAATTTTTTTATAAATTACCTGATCATGTTTTTATTAGATTATACGTGTGTATAAAATAAATAAAAAAAATTTAGTAATTTCTTTAATATATAATTTTATATAACGTTATAATTATGTTCCCAGACTGAAACCATAAAAAATATATGTAAAAGATTATGAATATTTATTAATATCTGTCATCACATTCAATATAATTTCTATCCGTTTCCTAACAACGTTTACATTGCTTATACAACGATTGTCTATTGAAGTTCTTCTTTCTGAATAACCCTCGATTCTTTCTTCAGCATTGAATCGATTGCAGATCTTCAAATTCCTTTCTTTTCATTGTAAATTTCACTTTAGGAAATAAAAAAATATCCCAGGCCATATGCATGTCTAAAAGTTGTCATAAAGACAATCACATCATTAAAACGTCTTTTGAGATATAAATCTAAAAGGTCTCATAAAGATGTCTTCTATAAGCTTTGTTCGTTGTCTGAATGTCAATCTATTTTAGCGTCGGCAGGAATCGCGTTCTTGAGAGAAAAAGAATTTAAATTGCAAACATTATTATGCATACGTAACGCACAAACATTATAAACGAGTATAATACATTAAACATTTATTAGAAATAAACACACATTATTAATATTAATAATTTCACAATTCAACAATAATTGTTATGTAATTGTTATGATACATGAGTTATATAAATTATAATACATTAACATTTACATTGTAAAACATTAAATTAAAAGAATAAAATCCTGGTTGAGGTAACATATTTCGCATGTTCTTTTTTTTCAGGTTTTATAATAGCACTAATCGAAGATCTAATTTAATTTGGGAGGAATACTACTATTTCAGTTTGATTGTGTTGTAAGTCTGAAAGTAATCAGCGCAGTCACTTGACTTAAATTTATTAAAAATATTTACTTATAGATGTATTATTTCTACATTTAACTTCAATTGTAATTGACGTTTTTTTTTTACAATTACAGTTGATTTATTTTCTAATATTGAAGTTGTATGTTACTTCCTTTAGTTGATATTTACTGGAAAGTTTTTATCATATTTTCATTTATTTTAAACAAATTTAAAGTCATACAAATAATGTTTTATAAATAATTTTTCTTTTAAACGATCTTACATATCAACAAAATATTTATAATTTCTAAAATTTGTCGTTTCTTGTAATTTAAATTAGCTCAAAATATAAAGTTTCAAGTCAACGTTATCTCATAAAAATTATAACTAATTATACTCTCAAAAAGTTCCTTTGCCTGCGTTTTCTTAAAAAGTAAATGTTGTTCATAAAATATTCTGCAAAAACTGTGACGCAATGGATGTATTCGAGGAACTATATCAGCTATATCAGCGCTATTATTGTCATACTATATCTTTGCGTCTAATGGACGATGAAGATAAAATGCCACAAATAGTTTTAATAGCATCACCTCGAACGCAGCCATTGTATATCGGACGAACTAATAGATGCAGTTGAAGACCAGAGTTTCTGAACACACATCAGAATTTATCAGGAGGAATATAGCTACTCATTCAGTTGTTACTGAATCACAGGTTGTATCATGATCATGATTTTAAAAGGGATCATATTTAAAAGGGAAATTTTAGATGTTGAACGAAATTACAAAATATGATTGATTTCAGAAATAATTATATAGTAATAATAATTAAACGGTAAAAGAACGGCATTAATTTAAATTCATGGAATTACTTAACTACTTAAATAGTGTATTGTTACTTAGATATTCATTAAGCACTTATGTTTCCTAATGATATTTTTTTTACTCTGATTTTTTTTATCTCAATGATGATTTATAGTTTATTCTATCACATGTAACGGTACATAATCTTGGATCTGTCTTATCGTATAATGCACTTTATTTTAAATAGGTAGATTGTACAAATTCTTTTGATATATTTTTTGTTAAGTACATCCATCTACATTTGTGAGAGCTCAGCTGAGCTTTACGCTTAATTTATTCCAATCAATTTTTTTTTACACAATGAATTTAATTTCAAAGAATCCACTTACTTGAGACCATCCAGCCTTCTATTTGTTTATGAGATAGAAACTTGCCATTTCATTTTTTGGGGTGAATAACATGAAAACAGGAGATAGCATTAATAGATCACACAATACAATATAATAAATAATACACAATATAATAAATTAACTGACTGCAACAATTTGGCTCTACATTCTTAATGCGCTAATAAAGACTAGAAAGTAGCCGAAACGTATGTGATTTATTATTTTACTAAACTGTTTTTCATTATTTAAATAGTGAACTAATTATTCACTACAAAAAACTATTTAAAATATTTAACAAATTTCAAAAATAAATGTTTGACTAAATATCAAATATTAGTTTTCAGAACATCGGTTAAATATAGTTTTTCATAACGAATAATTAACGCATTAATTAGAGGGACAATTTCCTGTAAATAATAATCCTAATTTCATCTTTTTATATTTGTACTTTAAAAAAACATAAGAAGAAAAAAAAGATTGCGATTATGGAATAAGAGGAGAGATATGAAATATTATCTACTAACTAGTATATAATATATTTTCAAGCCTGTTCAATTTATGCTTCGGAACTATCGACGCAAAATTCAATGTGAATAAGATTTCGGAGACTGAAAGGGTTACATTCAAATGACGCTTATAAATACTTCATAATTATATACTCCTAAAATCATATATATTAAACTTTTTTATATCGTTTTGCGTTTTGGTTCCAGAGCTCAAAATAGGCCTGGGGAGACTGGGGACAGTTAAAATAATTTTTAGAAATATACATATATTTCTTTATTTATAATATGTATGTGCATTTCTTTCAAAGCACATGATGCAACAACTATTTAGCTTTATGGTATGTCTAATTTTAGGCTGTTTACGAGTAAAATATCAAAATTTGGATTAGTACATCTTGTTTCGATTTGGAGTAAAATGAAACAGAGCTAAAGAAAGTTGTAACATGTTCTAAAAACAAATTATCCTCTCTAAAACAGAAATTTACTGCTTTAAAACAAATCTATCTTTAAAATTATCTGTTCTAAAATAAATTTACTGCTCCAAAAATACAAATTCAGTACTTTAAAAATAAATTTTTTATTCTAAAATAGAAATTATCTTCTTATATTATTTTTGTTTTTAAATTAGTAAATAAATTTACTGTTAAAAAGCAATGAATTCGTGTTTTAGAGCAGAGAATTTGTTTCAATGAATTTGTATTTTTAAAACAGTAAATTTATGTTTCAGAACACAATTTATTTTTAAAACAGTGAATTTATGTTTGTAAAGCAATGAATATCTATGGCAATAAAAAATACAATGCATTTGCGGCTATAGATGAAAATGTGACCTCAGCGCATGCTTGCATCGCAATATTTCGTAGCTGTGATAGATTTCCTAATCTGAATAGTCGTCAACTTAAAATATTTTGGTTCACGAAACAGAACGACACTTTTTTCTTGTCAAATCTTTATTTTTACGTGAAAACTTATCGATTGAGTATATTTTTTCAAAATTTGAGGTGACAGGGTTCTTCTTAACATTTATTATTAATCATAATGGTGTTACAATGGCTGCGGTCGATTTGGACGCTTTCAATGCTTTTCAGTATTTCTATTTTTATTTTATGTATAATAAACAATAAAGACAGAATAATGATTACAAGCATTTAAAGCGCATGAGCGCGTTCAAATCGACAGCCAACCCTAGCGAAGTGATACTTTTAACCCTCACTCCCCCCCCCCCCGCCAAACTGATGTAAAAATTTTTGTTAATATATTTTGAAATCACATAGTGTGAAAAAACGTATTTTAGAATAAAATGAAAACATGATAAAAAGCATTTTATTTAAAAGTTTAAAGCAAAAAAGCATATAACATCGTATTTATACTTACATGGCTTACCTGAGCATCCTACATATAACTTCTTTTACATACGGCGCATGCGCGATTTGATGTCAAAAGACAAACACAGAACGGACTATTTTTTTTCTTCATATAATCATCTTATCTCTTAACATTTAAAAGATATACGCATTGTTACAACTAACCTCCGTTACAAC